TTTTAACTTGTTTRGGTGACCCCCCTTTCTTCTCCCGTTTGACACTCATAAAAGGTACACAATGTTTTTCTCTTTTTATTGTTTTATTACAATGTTCCTGAGATTCTTCGATGTCATGTCCGAGTGGTTCAGCTTTATACTTCTTCCGATCAGCTTCGTTTTCTTCACGTTTKAATTTCAAACGCGCTCGCTCTTCTGACAGTTGGGCTTCCTGTGCCTTTAATTTATTCTCTCGAGTCAKCAATTTTTTCTCTTGTTTGACTCTCATAGCTGCGACTTTRGCATCAATAAAACTCATTTTGTTCTCATATTCTGACTCAGATACTACATCACTACCTTGAGCGTCGCTTTCCGTCGAGCTTTCGTCATTACTTTGCTCCTTTTGCTTCGATWTGGGGTCAAACAATGATGGGAAAGGCGCGGAACTAATGGTGGACGCTGGCTCGTCCTCTCTTGATTCCAAATATGCATCGATTTCATCAACTATTTCTTCTACAGTGACTCTTACCTCCTCTTCGTATTCTACTATCTTTACTTTATCATTTTCTTCGGTGGTAAGAGTTGACAAGAGCTTGTTTATCTCGATTATGTCGGCGAAATGCTGGATGATTCGTTTACTTGGTGTTGTTGACGACAGTTCGACTTCCCACTGCTTCGATTATGGACTTCGCTTTGGTTTTATTTCGTGTTATTCCAGCTTTTAGGTAGCCACGTTTCCTTATGAGGTCCAGAGCTTCCATGGTTGCCGCGGATCCGGCTCGAAGGACCAGAAATATGTACGAACGAATGCTTTTATTTTCACGAAAAACCTCATAAGTCACACTACTCCATTTTCGACTTTCATACCATGCGGTCCCTCTCTACGTCACCGTCCACGTGACGGTCACGCAATACACATATTTCGTCACAACATNGAGACATCGATTGTTATTACTGGTTTTTGACACTTGCGGTGATTTTTTTGTGTCTTTCGCTGCCAGATGTAGCGCTACTAGACGTGGCAGCATTTACCCAAATTTTACATATTTGTGGCTAAAACAAAAGTCAAACTTAGTAGTTTTTGGGTAATTTCATCAGTAATGAATGTGGAGAAATGAAGCCATAATGCAACTTTAGGCTTAGTATTCGTCGATTTGCTTCACCTTTGCTTTGATTTTGTTTGATATTCTGGTTTTCCTTGCGAATAATTTTTATTAGGCAAACTCAATTTTTTTTCGCCTACCAACATGAGAAATATTAGTCAATGTTACGTCTTGAAATTTATATTGTTTGCTTAATAATTGAACTCCAAGTTTTCTTAGGGATTTAGTTTTTGACACTTGCGGTGATTTTATTTGTTTTTCGGATCCAGATGTAGCGTGGTCGATGGTCGTGGCAGCATTTACTCATAGTTGTAGCTCGAGTGGTATTCATCTCACCGGCGCTTGCTTGTGTTCATCCAGAACCGAAGTTAAATTATAAAACTTTATTCATAAATCGTTTATTTAAAATTCTATTCGTTAAGTAATTATAATTCATCATTATATCTTTCTGTATTCGTCTGCACAATCAATCTTCGAGTTGTGTTGCCATTGGCGGCTTGATTTCTGACGAATTCGACCACTGACTAACCCCAAAAGACCGCCCGTCAAACAGTAGATAAACAAACTTTCATTCACAATGCTAATCGACCCTCATAATAACTACCTTGTAAAGCCTTGCACCTTTTTTCTTGATAAGAGGGCTACACAAAATAATCGTCTCATTCAGTATTTTCAGCTTGTAAACACTACAAAGTGCT